AGGTGAAGAGCAGACCTGAGAGATTGAGGGCATTGGTTCTACAGAGCCAGCGTACTGCTGTATGACACTGCTGGATGTCTGTCTGATGGTGGCAACAGCCAGCAGTTAGGAAGCCTCCCCCATGCCCTGTAGCTTTCTGGAACATTAACTGAGTAACACCTTTCAGGCCTTCTGAAGTTTGTGTTATTTCACGTTTTACAGACGAGAAACTTAACCCTAATGAGGAGAAAGTAAACTGCCCAAGGTCACAGCTAGGAGGGGACAGGTGGCTCTAGATTGGAGCTGTGGGAATTGGAATCTGCCATGCTTTGGGTTGTACCAGCAGTTTGGGAAGATGGTCCTGTGCCTATTGTGGCTGCATAGAACATCTTGCATTCTTTTGAGGCAATGGCCCTGAACTCAGAGCAGGGCTGTATCCTGGTTGCTGTCTTTCTCTTGATTTCTTTTTTCTTCCAGAAACCATGAGGAAGATAATCAGCATTAACTGCTGTTTTAATATTGTTTCTGGGTTCCTGGACATTGTTCACTGGCAGGAATTGGTGTCCTCTGGGCTGAAAAGAGAGACTGCTTGTCACCTTTTCATGAGGCTGACTTGTGATTACCTGCATGGCTGTATCATGAAGTGTGAGGGTCAAAACTGGGGACTTGGTGGCAGCAGTTCTGACAGGGTAATGACAGTTATTGACACCTGTGTTTCAGAGGCCTCAGTTTGTCAGGTAAACTGTAAAGCTCATGCTAGGTCCCCCCATTTCAAATGGGATTTTAGAGGTCATAAATCTGCATTTCTCAGAATGGTACCTACCAGGTAACTATGATCAGCTGGGTCCATGCAGGAAAAACCTACCCTCCTTACCACAAAAGAGACTGGCTTCTGACTACACTGCAGATATTTGGACACAGATTACTGCTAAGGCTGCCAAAATGTGGGTTCATGTCTCTGCTCTGCCTCGACTGACCCTGACAGCTTATCTATCATGAATGGTTGCACCCTGTTGGAAGGCCCACTGGACTCCTGTAGTCTCTAAGAAGCTGTGTGTATGCATACAATAGGGTAGCTAGTATTGGCTGGGTTTTTAAGTAGGCAGGTGTCATGCACTCTTCATGGAGAAATCAAGGGCTCTCCCAACAGCTACGACAGACAGACCCAGAAGGCAGTGCAAATACCACTTCATAGATAGATCTCGAGACATCTGAGCCTATGCTCTCGTTTCTTATGAGAAGAGCTTCAGTTGCTACTGAAATTTGGGGCTTGTGTTGTCCTTTCTTAATCAAGAGGCCTCTTTTGTCACCTGAAGGAGGGCAAGCATGATTTACTTGAATGGGACTAGATAGAGAACATTCTAGTATGAAAGGAAATGCCAGAGGCATTTTTATTACATTTATAACCCTTTGTGATTTGGAAGGCAATTATGGTAACTCTGGGATCCTCACAAATTTAAAAGCTCTCTCATACCCCAGATCCATTATATTTGAAGGTCGTTGTCCTGATTCTCTAGCTTGAAGGAAACACTCAGCTTGCTGACGCTCTGAAAGTATCATCTTCCAGGAAGCTCTCGTCTTTCCTTCAAAACACAACCATGATTCATCTGGCCAAACATCAAAGGAGACAGTTATGTGTTCCTCCTGCCATCCTACCTCAGCACTTACCATGATGCCAGCAGCCAGTTAACAATATGGCAGTCTCGCTTTGAGCAGCCTTTAGCCTCCAGAGTGTGTTCCAGTTCCTTCTGTGGCATTCTCCCATTTAACTTCTCCGGGCCTTCTTCTCTGGCCCCTACTCCATGTCTCTTGGCCTGTCATGCAAAGGGTCTCACTGGGTGTTTACCCTGCCTCAGTCCTACTGCCATTCTGTGAGCTGGCATCACCTCACTTCTTCACTGTGGCCAAATAGCTGAGCGTCTGCATCTCAGTTTTGCAATGCTTGGCCTCAGGTGCATAGGCCCCTCTGTCTGTCTACAGGGTGACTTCTACAGCTCAGCATGACTGTCAGGCCCAGCCATGTTACAAGGAGCGAGAATGAGAAGGGGAGTGAGGGAGAGAGTGTGGATTTTATCGTGGGGCTGGACATTGGGTGTCTCAGAGAGCAGGTGAGAATGTGATGTGTCTATGAGAGGGACATGGTGTCCGCTTGAGGGGAGTGGGTTGGAGGGCATCTCTTCTCTTAAGCCCAGTCTGTGGTAAAGAAGGTGCCATCCCCAAGCCACAGGTCCAGGAGATGGTGATTTCATGGCCTACTGTTAGTAACAGTGGGGTCTGTTTGTGACTCATCTCTCTTTTGAGGTCCTCTGAGTTCTGATGTTGTTTCTAACTATTTGGGAAGAGTTATTTGAGAAGCAGGGAGCTCACATGGCCCACACAGAATGTGAACTGTTTGAGTGCTTGTGTGTAGGAATAAGCTCTCGAAAACTCAAAGTGAAATCAGCCTGGTAGCAATGAAGACCTAGCTTCACAGTGAGATTATTCCAGTCAAGTGTTGTCTCCTTGGTCCCATTGGCAAGCCTTGTCAGGTCTGGTCAATCATTGTTGTGGCACAAAATGGGGGCAGGGTTTTGACAGCTCACAGTGAACACCCTGGAGCCCTGCTGGTTTGATACTGTAAGCATTTGTGGAATAGTGTTGTAGCGCTGACTCCTACAGTAAACCCAACAAAACCGTGGAACTCCTCCTTGCAGGAGGAAATGGCCGCAGCACCTGTTTGAAGCCCACATTTTGTGGGAGCACCGTAGGAGGTCCATCAGCACCAAGGCTGCAGCTGTGGACTTCCTGCTTGTCTTGAGGAAGGCTGGAAGGTCACATGACCTCCATGGGGAGGGTCTTTAGGTGTTGTTGGTGATACTGTGTGTGTGTGTTGAATATGAGATAACTTAAGTTTTGTGAAGAATAAGTGGGGAAAACTGATCTTTGGTTTCTGCAAGCACAGGGATGCTGAAAGGCACAGTGGCCCACCACTTCATTAATGCTTTCTTTGGTGCCATTTGGACTTAACGTTTCATATCCTTGGTGAGATTGGCAAGGCTCACTGACTGCACAGTCATGTGTCTCTTGGCATTTCAACTCCTTAACGGACTTAGTTAAAGAATGCCGTCCTTTCTCTCTGAAGAAGGGAAGAATGCTCATTACTAAGAAGCTCACATAAGAGAGGAGAAAGAATGGCAAGAAACCTCCTTGGACTTAAGACTAATTTATATTTTACTTTGTCATAAGTGGTGGGGCTTCCTTTTGTTCCTTGAGGTGAGACTCAGGATAGTGTCCTCCCAGCCCTCCATGGAAGCTTCTGCCTGTGTCCTTCCCTCCTCTGGTACTCTGGCAGTATCTTCTATATATCATGTTGGATTCTTGTGTCAAATAGCCTGGTGTTACTATATGTATCTAAGCAGGTAGTAAATGCTATGTGAGTTCAGGGCATGGGAGGACTCTGTTAGGAGGCAGCAACCAGGCTGGGTGAGGCTGCGTGTACAGGGGTCTTCCTGCAGGGCTCAGGGATAGCGTTTTGGCCAGCTCATGTGCGGGCTGGTGTAGTTGTAGGATCCTAGCATGCAGCAGAACTCTGATGTTCCCTCCTTCACAGCCTAGAGCAGGCCCTCGAAGCTCCTGAATGCTAGTTCTCTCTCTGGAAGGTGGGACCAATACACAAGCCTCTCAGAGCTTTTGCCAAGAAGCTCACAGAGAGCATGGAAAAGATTTGTTCTGATGTGGAGACAGTGGTGGCTGCAACAGCGGTGCTGCTGAGTGTGTGTCACCGTGGTTACAGTGGTGCTGCTGAGGGTGTGTACCATGGTTACAGTGGTGCTGCTGAATGTGTGTCACCGTGGTTACAGCCGTGCTGCTGAGTGTGTGTGTGAAGGTGGTTACAACCGTGCTGCCGAGTGTGTGTCACCGTGGTTACAGTGGTGCTGCTGAGGGTGTGTCACCATGGTTACAGTGGTGCTGCTGAGTGTGTGTCACCATGGTTACAGTGGTGCTGCTGAGTGTGTGTCACCATGGTTACAGTGGTGCTGCTGAGTGTGTGTCACCATGGTTACAGTGGTGCTGCTGAGGGTGTGTCACCATGGTTACAGTGGTGCTGCTGAGTGTGTGTCACCATGGTTACAGTGGTGCTGCTGAGTGTGTGTCACCATGGTTACAGTGGTGCTGCTGAGTGTGTGTCACCATGGTTACAGTGGTGCTGCTGAGTGTGTGTCACCATGGTTACAGTGGTGCTGCTGAGTGTGTGTCACCATGGTTACAGTGGTGCTGCTGAGTGTGTGTCACCATGGTTACAGTGGTGCTGCTGAGTGTGTGTCACCATGGTTACAGTGGTGCTGCTGAGGGTGTGTCACCATGGTTACAGTGGTGCTGCTGAGGGTGTGTCACCGTGGTTACAGTGGTGCTGCTGAGGGTGTGTCCCATGGTTACAGTGTTGCTGCTGAGTGTGTGTCACCATGGTTACAGTGTTGCTGCTGAGTGTGTGTCACCATGGTTACAATGGTGCTGCTGAGTGTGTGTCACCATGGTTACAGTGGTGCTGCTGAGTGTGTGTCACCATGGTTTCAGTGGTGCTGCTGAGTGTGTGTCACCGTGGTTAGGAAAGAACCTGTTTCCCTTTTCTCACTTGAAACCAAGGACTCACTGAGTAGAATGGCATGTATTCCATTGCACCTCTAGCTGGGGCATCATAATTATTAATTTATCTTTGCACTGCTAGTGTTGAACCTACTCTACCACTGAGTTACACCTCCGGCCCCAGCAGAAACTTTCTTGACAATCAAAACTCTGAATACAAAACAAACCAACCCTTGGTAGAAAAGTGTTGTTAAGGTTTGGAGACGGTCCAGCACTGTTACTTTGGACCATAAACTCACCCAGTTCACAGAGGGTTGCCTGCTGCTGGGCACACCACACTTTGGTCTCCAGCTGATGTCTTGCTGCATCTTGCCAGGAAGGAGGCTGCAGAGAAGCAGGAGCTCAGTGTGGACAAGGGCTGCTCCTGAGCCTGACAGTGTCCTTCCTGTCTGTTTCAGGTGGCTGAGATGCATGGGGAGCTGATTGAGTTCAACGAGCGTCTACACCGGGCCCTGGTGGCCAAAGAAGCCCTGGTGTCCCAGATGAGGCAAGAGCTGATCGACCTCCGAGGTCCTGTAAGTGCTCCCCACCCCACCAGGCAGGTCCTTGCCCTGTCATCTGCCTCTGCCCGCCCTCACTGTGGGCACCAGGCCTCTGTGACTCAGTCTTACTGCTGCTTCAGTTCATTCCTGATGGTGTCAGTGATGCAGGAAAGTGCAGGCATGGAATGAAAGAGGTCGTCCTCGCACCGTGCAGAGTATGCTCTCTCCAGCCTTTCCATGTCCACGTGTGCTGGGCAGAAGACACATGCCATGTCCATCCAGAGTGCATGTCTGTGATCTGCCATGTGGACAGATTTCCAGTCAGGAAGCAGGGTTGGTTTTGTGTCTTGTACCCATGTGGTCTGCTGGTACAGATAGATCTCTTTGTTGCTTCTTTTTGCTTGGCTTTGTTCAGTAGTTTGGTTTGAGGAGCATCCCGTATAGGCTGAGTTATAGGCCTTTCCACCCACTCTGTTGATATTCTTGTAATTGTTTGTTGTGGGGCCAAGCTGGGAATTCTGGAATTCCATAGGAGGTAGTAATTTCATCTCCCACAGGCACCCCAGGTTTAGAACTGCTCATTGAGTCATTTCCTTGGCCCCATCATTCTGTTTCTGATGAAACACAGCCTAGCATCAGTCATGTCCTTTAGACATTCACTTGTTTCCTGTATCATATCATTGCGGGCTATGATGTAGGAATTTGGATGCTGGTCCTTCCATGCGTGCACATCATAACATCATCTTTATTTAAAATATTTCTGTGCAGAACTCTGTGTTCCAAGGATCAGCAGGTAAGTGGTATGCACTCTTAAGTGTCCTTTCCCCAGGCTCAACTTTCACCAGCCGTAGCCAGTTCCACTTCAATTTACCATGTCCTGTTTCCTCTTTTGTGTATGGGAGTCAAATACTAAGTACTAGTTAATCTTTGGACATCACTATATATGTCTAAAAGTAAAAATACAAATGTCATACCCTTCTTACTCCTTACCTCCACTAAATCCTTTACTGCAGCAAATATTAGTGTCCAAATGTCCAACTGTCTCAATTTTAAAATCTGTGATACACATGAGGCTCAGACATTGTAATTTATTGTCTCTTAGGTTTCTTTCTCATAACGTAACAGTGATGGTAAGATATCGCTAAATGATCCCAACCATTTTAGGCCGACATTTCAGTAGTGTTGTGCAGACATCCTAGCAGTTTGTCTCTGGAGATTGGTCATCCTCTCTACTAGAAATAAAATGTTAACCCTTTCTTCTTTTGTCAGCCTTCCTCATCCACCATGCTGCCTTTGGGACTGTCTATTGGGTCCTTCCTTGTTTGTCTCTCTTTCCCCTGCAGTTAGTTTACAGAGAACACTGGCTTTCCGTCTTGGACTTTTACCCTTGAGTTGATTTGATAGCATCTCTAGGTAGAGCTGTTTGGCACGCTCCTCCTGTTTCTGTTTTCCTTAAGCTAGCATCTGGGTCTAGATACTTGGGATCAGTTTCATTTCACTGATGGCGTAGCTCTGGTTGAACTGTTTCCTGTCGGCAGTCCCACAAACTCTGCTGTCTCTCTTGGTGATGGCAGAGCCATCTGTTGTTATCCCCTAGGTCAGTTACCTTGCTTTGCCCTCAGGTCAGTGGCTCCTCCTGTTGATGCCTTTGTAGCCCTGTGACCAGGGAAAGGCAGTGAGTCGTGAGTCCAGATGCCGAGATGCTGACCTCTGTCTCCTGTGAACAGGGCAGGTCTTCATGATGATCCTACTTCTGTGGCTCTGAGTGTTCCAGACTTTCAGGGCTGACTGCAGAGAGGACATGGCCGACAGGAAATGAGCAGTGGCTCATTTTAGCCAAGGGTCAATCTGAACCTGGGTGGTGGCCTTAGTGCTGGAAGAGCATTTGGTGTCCACTGTCGATGAGGCTGCTAGTACAGAGAGCAGCTTCTGTCTCATTCTCATGTGAAGGATGAAGGCCGTTAGCCTCCTGTACAGATGGTGAAGCTGGCAGCAACTGAGTGGTTGTCACTGTCTACGTGTGATGTGCTGCCTTTGAGCATGAGTGTCGTTTTCATCCCCTCCCTACCTCACTGTTACCAGTTGTACGCCTCTTCCAACAGAAGAAGAAACAGGCTAGAAGTGGAATGGCTTCCCCAATGTCCTCAGTGCGAAGCGACAGAGCCAAGTCTGGCTTTAGAAAATGGCTTTTATTTATTAGTTAAAAATGCCAACCTTTTTAGACTTGTCCAAAAAGTCTTATTTTACCATATGAGTTGCTTTTTATGTCACCAGGGAATGGGCTAGGGAGATCGCTCAGTGGTTACCAGCACTTGTTCTCTCAGAGGACCCAGATTATATTCCCAGCACCCACATGGTGGCTACAAACATCTGTAGCTCCAGGTCCAGGGAACCCGATGCCTTTTGATCTTTGAGGGCACCAGACATGCATATAGTGCACTTACAAGCATTTAGGCAAACACTCATGTAAATTAAAATAAATCTAAAAAGAACTTGGATGAAGCAACCAAAAGGAGCAAAGCTTTATTAGCTCACAGGTCAAGGGGACATGACCCATCATGGTGGCACAGGAGAGGTTTGTGACTGTGGGAGTGAGTTTGAAATGGCTGCTTACGTAGCATGGATGGTCAGGAAGGAGAGAGGCTCCCACCCCCACCCAGTCACCTACTTCCTCCTGCTAAACTCCGTCTAGTCCCACAGCCTCCCAAATAGCCAGCGACCAAATGCTTCCACACACTACAGGCGATTTCACAGTCTTGATATGCAGGCAGGAGGTTCGATCTCTACAGCCACATAAAAAGCTGATGTGGCAGCTTGTGTCTGGAATCTTAGCTGTGGGGACACAGAGACGGTGCCCAGCAATAAGTTCCAGGTTTAAATACATAGGAAAATCCCTGATACTGAGTTCTGATCTCTCTCATACGTACTTGAATGAGAATTGTACATGTGTACACACACACTACACACACACACTGTCGGTATTTTATAAGGAATTCATTAAGAAGTAGAGAAAGGGAAATCTCTAGACCCTCCCCTCTGCCTGGCACCCTTGTTTTCTGACCCATGAGCAGGAAGTTTCCAGTTGGGTTCACCTTTCCAACCCCCCTGCACAACCTTGCACATTTCAGCAACTGGTGGTCTGCTGCAATGGTCCGTGTTCCACTTCTCCGCACGTGACAAAGCATCTTAGAGATGTTTCCATGTAGCTTTACCCACTGATCTATTTAAGAACAGACTTGTGCTCCCTGGGGTGGGCATCTCATAGTCTAGCTGGCCAAACCTGCTGAAGGATTTTGAAGTTTTTACTTTTTGCTTTTGCAGCGGTGGTAGAAGGACATCCTTGTGAGATCCTGCGACCAGATGAAAAGGCCATTTGGCAGCTGCTTGCTCAGACAGGCCCAGAGCTCTTGCTGTGCAAGGTTGTGGGGTGCTGGGAAGTCCTTCCTCTAGCTGCTGCAGGATGGTTCTGGAAAATCCAGAGGCTAGCACTCTGTAAAAGGCCAGGATACAGTAGACTCCCGAATCCTAGTGAATGTCCCTAGAAAAGTCACCCTCCTTTACAGATGTAGTACCTCCGTGCAAAGGGTTTAGGGTCCCCTGCATTTCCGTCATGCTCACCACCCTCCTCCTCAGACCTGGGCCTCTGCTTCTGCTGTCTCCTTTCACTGGAAGGCCACCTGTGCTTTGACTCCACATGTCTATCTCTTTCTTCTTCAGGGAGCTTTCCAGATGCCAACACATAGGCAGATTTCCCTTCAGTGTTTCTGTATGTCTCTCCCTTCCCATCCTGAGATTCCTATGAATTCATCATTGATTTGTCCCCCAAAGTAGGCACTTGGCAAATGTGCGAATGAGTGAATGTCACTGTTGTAAGAGGTGATGTCCAGGTTCTCCCTGGGCCCGTTCCCCTGTCCATGCTGTGCTTCTTGATGGAGTGCTGTTCCGGGCAGCTGTAATTGTCATTATCTAGAAGGGTAGAACTTCTCTTCCCTGACCAGGGCACCAGGTGCAAAACCATGACTCTTGATTCCTGGGACCATGTACCCCCTTTCCGTTCACACGCATCAGTTCATGCTCCTGGGGTACAGCAGCCTCGGATGAGCCATGTCCCCCGAGATGAGACTCTCAAAGTCCCACTGTCTGCTGAACACTTGATGACCTTCCTTCCTGTGCGTTGTGCACACAAAAGTTTTTGTTGTTGTCCTTGTTACTGTTGCTTATTTAGTTTTTACTTTAAATTTTTTTTTTAACTTTTGTTATTGTTTTGATCGTACCAATTGCTTTGTCTTGGAGTTGGAAGCATCAGCCTGGAGAAGGCAGATTTTCCTAAAAGCATTGGGCGAAAGGCAGCTCAGTTGCCTTTGCTCCTAGAGGTTCTCCCCACAGGCCTGGCCACACGCAGCCTTCCCAGAAGCTCCTTCTCCAGGGACAGAGTTTCTAGGAAGGGAGTCTCAGCTGTTTTCTGAGAAAGACAGTGGGAAAGCGCTGACATTCCTCATGGTGCCAGTTCCTGCCTTTCCCTACGGGGCTCCTCAGAGGCCACCATGCCTCAGGAGCATGACTTGGCTGTGTAGGGCCAGGGAAATGAGACCACAAGGTGTGCCCCAGGTCACTAGGGTAAGGCAGGATGGGCATTCATTCCCTGGCCCTCCTGGCCTCCGGGTGTCTTTGCAGCCTGCCTGAGGTCTTTCTAAATACTGATTGCCTAGGCCTTGGGCTCCTTTAACTGGGCAGTGGCAAGTTCACTCAGGTTTTTGTGCTTCTCCCTCTCCTCCCTCCCTCCTGCTTCTCTGCCCTCCCCTCCTCTCCCTCTCTTCTCTGTGTTGCTTTTAGGTCTGTGAGTGATACTCTCCCCTCCTTTCCTTTCTCTAGCCATACCTCTTCTCTCCTTCTCCTCCCTCCCCAGGCATTCTCCCTCTTCCTCCTCTATCCACACCTGTCTCCTCCCTCTCTATCCACACCTGTCTCCTCCCTCCCATGTCTGTTCCTGTTCTCCTTGCTGCCGTCTCTCTCTGTCTCTGTCTTTTTTTCACTTTCTGTGTGTGTTGCCCTCCATGTTCACTTCTCTTTGTCTCTGCCACCAGTTCCCTCCCTTGTACATGAGTCCCCTGTGCCCCTTCCCGTTCCATTCTCCTGCTCCTCTTTGTCTCTTGCTTAGTGAACCTTTACAAGACTGTGGTGCAGTAGTAATTGCTACTTTTAACAGCAAACCCATACATCCTTCCTCTTCTCGCCTGTGATTTCTGTGCTGTCGTGTGTGTGTGTCCCAGTGAAGAGGGTGTGGGTTTCCTGAGCTTCTCTTAACTCCTCTGTGGACTCTTCCCTGCCCATCCCTGCCTGTGCTCTAACTTGGGCCCTGACCAGTATGCTTGTGGCTCTCTGTGTGGCTTTCTTTCTTTCTTTCTTTCTTTCTTTCTTTCTTTCTTTCTTTCTTTCTTTCTTTCTTTCTTTCTTTTGTTTAACTTTGGGGATATCTTTTTTATTGATTTTTTTTATTGAGTTCTACATTTTTCTCTGCTCCCCTCCCTGCTTCTCCCCTGTACTTCAGCCCTCTCCCAACTTACTCAGGAGATCTTGTTTTTTTTTCTACTTCCCAGGTAGATTAGATCCATGTATGTCTCTCTTAGGGTCGTCATTGTTGTCTAGGTTCTCTGGAATTGTGATTTGTGGGCTGGTTTTCTTTGCTTTATGTTTAAAAACCACTTATGAGTGAATAAATATGATATTTGTCTTTCTGGGTCTGGGTTACCTCACTCAGTATGATGTTTTCTAGCTCCATCCATTGTGGCAATGTTTCTTACTCTGAGTTCTCACTTCATGTCTACATCTCCTTTTCCCTGTGGACTGCATGAGCCTCTTCTCACAGCCTGGAGCATGTGTCATGTGAATGTGACACACACTTGTGGTAGCTATGGTAACACCACTAACTAGGGCTTTCCATTGTCCAGACAAGTGGCCTTCTATCCCTCCAGATAGTCTGGGTAGGTAGGATAGACTATCTTTGATCGTCCCAGCTGATGTGAGAGAATGCTGATTAAAGTGCAGAGATGAGAGGACTGGTGGACCCGCCCCACAGTCTGTAATCGGGGTCACATCAGAATGTCCCATCTCCAGAGGGACTGACCTTATGATGGAGCTGATGCTGTTTAAGGACAGAAACTTCATAATAAATTTACTTTTCAGCTTGGTGGCAGTTGGTAAATTTCTAAGCACCAACTTCTCTGTGGTCCCCTTGTAGCTCTGAACAGCACATCCAGGTTATAAGAGGCTTTTGAATTCTGCACTTGGACATGTGTGTTTTAACTGTCTTCTGTCATGCATATTATTCTGAAAAGTGCTGTTGAGAGGCTTTTAAAAGTGTATCCCACATAGAGGCTTAGCACAAAAATTAGGTTTTTGACACAAAACTCATCGGGGAATATGCTTGCAAGACCCTCCCTAAATCTTGCCATGCAAGGAATATAAAACCCTTCTTGGTAACAGCTTTGTTTTCTGTTAATGGACAGCTGTAACATGGAGGGTCCTGTTTGTTTGTTGTGGTTTCTGTGCCACCCGGTACCCCACAACTGTTTAGCCCCAAAGAAAATCACACATAGGTCTCCATAAATTATAAGCTGATTGGCCCATTAGCTCTAGCCTCTCACTGGCTAACTCTCACATCTTTTTTTTTTTTTCTGTGTCTTGGGTTTTATTGTTTTTTTAAAACAGATAACAGGACTTAGGGGTCAACAATAAAACTGAAATAAAGGTTTTGTAAAAAGTGTGGAGCAGGAAGAGGAAGCTACACAATTCCCTTTTATCTCTACCTTCCTATTTATATCACTCAGGAACTATCCAAAAGCCTAGGTAAAACCCAGCTAATGAGTCTCTTTGAAACTTGATTCCAGATGTTCTGGCTTCCACAGCCAGTACTTCTGTCCCTAAATTTTATGGTAAAATGGGGCATGGTGCAAAAGTATCCAGAGATCAGACGGGTTCCTGCTGCACAGATTCTCAGATGCATCCCAAAGGAAGAAGAATTAGAGTGTCCCGTGCTGTTGGAAATGTCCGTGTTTCCCTCGCTGTATAAAGTCTTTCTGTAAATGAATCTGACTCTTCGTTTTGTTTGTTCATTAGAATCCAATCTCCATGAGGGTCGGAGTCTTTGTCTTGGTTTGGTTTGTTTTAGACATTCTGAGACAAGATTTTACTCTGTTGCCCAGACTAGCCTCCAACTCATGAGACTCCTACCTCAGCCTTCCAAGTGCTAGGTTATAGGCATGAACACGCTCATCTGGAATCTCTGTTGCTTGCAGGATGGTCAGCAGTCACCAAATACTGAATAAATGGGTGAAGTGAAAGTTCGGGGATAAACTGCGGGTTCGGGGTCCTTTTGTAAAGACAAGGAGGGATGACATCACCTCTGGCAGCATTTACCTCTCAGAACTGGGAACTTCATTGCTACTACTTTTAGGGATGTCTCGCATTTTTCCAAAAATATATTTAATTTTAAAAACAAAAATCAGGTAAATTTTCCACAGTTCAACTTTCCAGAAACAAGCCAGAATTTGGCTTCTAGCTTATCAGGAAAGTTGAACAGCAGTAATTTCATGCAGACATTATTCCTCTCTGTAGGAGACAGAAAACATTCTCCTTGGTTTTACACACTTAATTCTCTAAATTCTCTGACATCATTTTATTTCATTCCAGAGGTCTGGCATGCAGAATTCATCTCTAAAACTCGAAGTTTCCAAACTGAGATGTGCGGTTGTTGGGCTTAGGTTGGGGTTTATAACCAATTCGATCATTAATCATTTGTTCCCGGCTTTTGGGGTCACTGCTAAGCCCAGTGGCCCCTTCTCCATCACTGGTTCCTACACCTTCCACATCTTCCTTCTGTTTCTTGCGTGTCTCCAAGTCCTTCCGAATGCTCTCAAACTCATCAATGTCATCGAGCTTGAGCTCCAGGCGTGTTGGTTTCCGCCGCAGCATACTAGTCAGCGCTGGCAGTCACACCCAGTGAGCTACGGGCTATCAGAAATGGCGAGAGAGGAAAAAACTTGCGTGGCGAATCTCAGCTACAAACAGATGAATTCAATTCATAGGATTATCCACAGGCTCTAACCAGGTCCTAAATGGTGAATCATTCATTAATCAGATGCTTCCTGCGCTGAGCTCTTTTCAGGCCTCTGCAATTTCCCAGAACCTCAACTCCCACCATGACGCCATTGCTGCACGGCCCCTCTCACATCTTGATTAACCCATTTTTCCGATCTTTGTTAGCCGTGTGGCTCAGTACCTTATTCAGTGAGGCAGATCACATCCTGCTGCTTCGGTGGCCTGGGCAGGAGTGGGAGGAATAAACTTCCTCCTTCCCAGAATTCTCCTGTTCTCATTGCATCATGTCTACTTCCTGTCTGGTTTTCCTGCCTGTACTTCCTGCCTGGCCAATCAGCATTTATTTAAAACATGATTGACAGAATATAGACAATTCTCCTGCACCAGACAACTGTTTCAGTAGTGCTGTAACTTTGGATACATACTGATGCACCCTGGACTCACACCTTCCTTTCCTGAAGCCCATGTTCTGCTTTGTGTTGCATGAGTATGATCCTCTGGCTTCCACCCTGCACAAGCCAGGGTGTGCCTTTTCTGTTTCTGCCTCTTCCCTAGGAGGCAAGAAGGCTAGGAGAATACCTGAAAGTGGATGCATCTTGCTGGAAGGATCCCTGATTTAGTTCAGAAATCCTTGATCCCCCAGATGTGTTTTCCAGGAAGAGGTCACTACTCCCATACTGTCTACTGCCAGCCTCTGAAAACCGTAGCTGTTGTCCTGTGAGGTCTGTGAACTGCTGTTTCTGATGGGGATGATTTTGTTGTCCAGAGCTTGGATGGAACACCCCCAAATACTGAAAAATAAAATAAAATAAAATGTTGACAGACTCAAAAAGATCCCAGTTCCCCTTATTCATTCATTCATTCATTCCTTCCTTCCTTCCTTCCTTCCTTCCTTCCTTCCTTCCTTCCCTCCCTCCCTCCCTCCCTCCCTCCCTCTCTCTCTTTCTTTCTTTCAAATGGTTTTCTTCATTTGTGCTGTGCTGTTATGGAATATCACTGTTATCTGCATGAGTATGCATGCCCAGTGTGGGCCACTACCCCACCCTGTGAGAGCCAAGGTCACAAAGTGCTTCCTGCCATGCCCTCATGTATGCCTGCGTCTCTCTCTCTCTCTCTCTCTCTCTCTCTCTCTCTCTCTCTCTCTCTCTCTCTCTCTCTCTCTCTCTCTCTCTGAAAATGACAGCCCAGGGAAAGGGAAGTATTCTGGCACCGAGCTGCAAACTTAGAAAACTTAGCTTGCCTTGAGCTCACTATGTAGCCTAGGCTAGCTTTGAACATGTGATTATCTTATCCTAGCCTCCTAAGTAACTGTAGTCTGGTAATAAAACCTGTGTCAATGTCTTTTTTTACTTAAAACTTCATTGCAAACACTTATGAATACTTAAAGATAGAATTTATAGTCATAAAGAGTGTGATGGTGGTACTTACACTTTGTAACTTTTTTCTGGAGATTGGTTAACTTTGAAATGTGGAAGGAGATTATCTGGAGCTGTGATATATCGTATATACCTTTGTACAGAGAAGCAGCTACTGTGGGAAATATTATCTTAGGTTTGTTTCAAAATTAATCTGGCAGCTGCCAGGGCAGGGCTGACTCTTGCCCTCCTCTGCCTTCCAAGCGTCCCCTTAAGGCCTGCTCTGACTGTTCCTGTTCCCATAGCTTTCCTTCTCTACACTTCGCCTTAGAAAACAAGCATGCTTTCAAAGTTTTCCAAATAGCACAGCATAAAAATATATTTAGAAATAATTTAATAACACCTGCAATAATTCACAGGGCAGAACACAGGTCTCTCTTCTAGTGACCTTGCTGTGGAAATTTCAGCACACATCTTTTCTGGGTACCTTTTATGCATACATGTTTCATAGACTTAAATGTATATGCATATAAGATATGCCTGCCTATTTTAACATCTGTGGGATAAGTTATGCTATCCAGATTGTTCTGAGACTTTCCCATCTCCATTCATGGATATATGCTGGCTCCTTCCTCATTGTGTTTCTCATCTCGCCTTCAAGGTCGAAGCCCAGCCTATCCTCTAAACAGACCTCAGTGGCCGTGCTGGTGCTCCCTGTACCTGCCTGCTTCTGACATTCACTGTTCTCATCAGCAGATCTTTTGGCTTTCCTGGGAGGTAACGAGCCCTGTAAAAGGCAGTGGTGACCACACTCCTGCCTACAATCAATGGCAACCTCTATTGAGCATTTTTGTGCCCCACAACCCATTTCAAGTGCTGTAATATATTAGCAAGCTTGTGAGATAGACATCGTCATTTCCACTTAGTGAACATGAAGGCCCAGGTGAGATGGGTGCCCCATTTGCTGACTAGTAAGGAGGGAACCAAGGGGCCTCTTGCTTTCCCAGAGCTGTCCGTATATTTATGTATGACTAGTCCCGCACACCAGGGAGAGTGGTGTGAGGTTCAGATTTACAGAGAGCTCCTTCCAGTCAGCCACGTGGAAGGTGAGCTCTCTCACTTGATCGCAGCCCAGAGCACATGCGCGTGCTCCCGTGCCGCATTCTCTCCTGGCATTCATCAGCACTCAGCACAGAATTGCTTATTTGTCTCTGTTCTACTTGGCTGAGCTCCCGGCACCTGCTATGGGCTATTAAATATTTATCGAACGAGTGACTATTAGTGCCCACTTCTCACCGAGCATCCTCACTCTGGATGCCCAGAGCATGCACACTGAATTTGACCAAAATTTTTAGGTTCCAGCCCCATTCTGTGTATCAGTCTCAAGCTGACCATGTTCCTGTTGTCATTTTTTAAAAATGTGCTGTCAAGTGTAAGGAGCTATTGCAGCAAGTATCACCCACCCCTGATTTCTTTGCTACCTAACTGAAACAATTACCAGTTAGTGTATGAAGTTACCCCTCTGCTACAGAAGAAAAAAGTAAAATAGGATGTGGAAGCTGGAAGGGCTCTCTGGGTTTGTGATCTCTGTATCTTCTGGGATGTCCCCAGTGAAAGACCTAGAGACAGGCCTCAGCAAAAGGGGCCATTTGTGCTTTAGATAAGTACAAACTGTGGAGTCCGTGCCATGAAACAGCCCATTTGTACATCATTCTGTCCTCACTTTTCCCTGCCACATCTGTCTTGTTCTTTTGTGGAAGCAGTGGCTGCTGCAGGGATAGAGTGTCTCTCGGAGACCCTGGGACCACTGTGGCAGAGCTGGCTTAGTTCCCTGCACCATCTAAAACTAATGCACGTGGCCAGAGCAGGCCACGCTGGATGACTTGGTGTCCATTCATGGGTTCAGTCAGCCAGTGGCATGATTTCCCAGAAAACAAGGGGATGCCAAGCAGCAGCATGCCGTGTCTGCCCGTTTCCTGCATCTCCTCTGCGCAGGAAAGAGGGAAGCTCCGAGTGGCAAACGACTATACCTGCTGTTGCTCAGCCTGGTAGACAAGAGTGGGGACAGGCGGCTGTCTAGCAGAGCATCTTCTCGCTGCTTTGACTTGTCTCCACAAACACCTTACATAACAGTCACCAAGTTCAAAGTGGGGTGCGTCACACCTGGGGAGGTGTGAGTATCAAAGGGCTGTTAGACATCACCATGCCGGGCATCTTCAGCAGAACTCACTTGCTATTTATTGACAAGCCAGTTTCTTCCTGGCAGGGCCATTACTTATTGCATTGTTTTTGCACATAAGCTCACTGAGGCTATGAGGTTTCTGATATAGATGCAGTCTTTTGGGGGCCAACATTCAACCCCCTGTAGTTGCTATTACAGAAAAGAAATTAGAATACATAGTACATAAATACTGGCAGATTAGCTTAGGTGTAGAGAAGATGCCTGCTGTAGGCCTGCCTACCTCCTTTCTGCTCTCATGGTGTGGGTAGAAGTCCTTCAGAGGTCTGCCACTGTGGGAGCAAATAGTCCAGGCCAAATACCTTCCCTCTACCCTGCAGCTCCCTCTGCCCCTCCCAGCTGGTATGTGACCTTTTGTTTTGATATCACGTCTTGTCATTAATGGCTTGGATGGGTTGTATGCTTTTGCCCATCTTGACTGAGGATGTGACTCCAGATCAGAACTTGATATAAATTTTTGGAATAAATATATATTACAGGAGAGTGTGTGGGTTTGTGATAATGTGGTTGGCTCTCAGAAGGGTGGGGGCTGCTGAAGTCAGACTTTCCAATGGTCCTTGATGCCACAGGCGACTGTCCACTACTGTCCACCCCTGAACTGTAAAGTCCACTGGAAAGAACAACTTCTGCTGGCTACGACCAGCTCTGCCAGGCTCTGGTGAGGAATTTGCTTAACACCCACACCGGCCCGCCAAGGCAGCTTGTTGCTCTGTTCCCCTGGAGGAAAGTGAAGCCTGGGGAAAAGCCATGACTAGTCTTCATAAAAGCAAGACCGAAGCAAACCTATTTAGAAGAGTAGAGATATCCAAACATTGTCACTGACAGCTAATAGGTACCATACATGTTGCAGTTTAGAGAAAACACAAGAACTTTACTGATAAACCAGTTGACACACCTCAGTAATACTTTCTTCTCTTACTTTCTCCAGCCTATTCTCTACTACAGAGAGTAGAAACACAATCCAGCTGTTCCTCTAGCCCAAGCGGATAAAACTTTTCAAATGTTTTATATGAAGAAATTAAGTTATAAAAAAGATTTATTTCAATGACTGCTGGTGTACTCACCACTGACGTTCCATCACTATCGTCTTTCTGTACCCACCGTGTCACTCGTCTGATCGTTTGTTATCCATTCACCACCCCAATCCTTTATCCATCACTGCCTGTCATTATCCACCCATTCATCTGCATTTGTGTTTTGCTTTTCAGTTTTTAAAAATTGCGGACATCACCACACATTTCTTCCCAAGGTTCATGCTGAGCTTTAGCTTACCCCAAAGTACCGCCCTGTACCCCTTCCTGGACTCATACTTCCCTCTCAGAGGCACACATTCTTCCGTTTTTCTTTATGTATCTAAGATTGCATGAGCATTAAGCTTCACTGAGAAAGTTAGCAACTTGCGTTGCACATAGTAAAAACTGGAAGGTACCAAATTTTATAGAATGAAAAGTTTTTTTTCTGATCTTCATTTCCAGTGATCTTCCTCCCAAATGTTCAGTCCAAGTGCACAGGCACACAACTCTC